TAGCTTAAATCATCTAACCAGTGCAAAAAGTTAAATCAGGGAAGGATCGTGCTTATGCATATATACATAGAATCTATGCATCACAAAACGTACTGTCACAACAACAAAAATACTAGAAAGAGATAAACAAATAACTCACTCAAAGTACAATAACTCTCTTTGTCTATCCGTCGTTCCGCCTTTCCATCTCTTGCCTTCTCCTCACTGATTTTTGCCGCTTAGATATTTGTTGGCAAATGTTACGACGGGATATTTTGAAGGGATCTCGAGAGGGGATCAGCAGAACACGCTGCGAATTTTTCGCCCTTTGTATCGCGTGCCCTTGACCGTTGGAGCATGGAAAAGTCTCGCGAATGCCGGCGGCTGTTTTCACTGGAAGCGCTGTCGTGAACCCCGGGGTAAATAGGCCGCTCTCATGAGTCACCCTGGAATGCCCATTACGCAGTGACCACAACTTCGCAATGTGTCTTCTGTGGGGCACAACCCCTTGTTCCGACTTCGTTCTCACTCGGGAGAAAGAATGGCACGCTAACCATGCGCTTGTAATTTAAAACGCTCGCAGTTTGTTAAATAAAATATGAGCAAACAAATGTCGTCCTCTCTTTGTTGGCAGCGTCGTTTACGACCGTAGAGGGGCAATTCTCTGCGAATAGAACGTGGAGTCGGACCCCAGAAGGGGAACTTTATCTTGACAAAATAAAAGAACTTTAATCACAAAAGTCCTGTGTATTTTACCACATGAAGCCACGCCCCGTGCATCTTAACTATAGTGCCTTCCTAGGCGAAGAAGTTGGTGCGTCGTAGATAAACGGTTTAAGCACCAATCCCCTGCGGGGTTTTTCTTATCCTAATGTTGGTCGTTTTGTTACCATAATAAAAAGTTCTAAACTCTAAAGCCAATTGTCAGCATTCTAGGGGTTAGCAGTAAAAAAAAGACGTTGCATATATCCCGAGCCGTACATATAGTCAATAGAGTGACAGCGTATCTCGAAATAAAGCAGAAAACTACGGTAGGTTGTCTAAATAAGCGTCATATATCTTCATGCGTGACGTGCTCAACCATGTTTCTTTCACAGGAAAAAAAAAAGTACCGCTGGCTTGTGTGTCTGTCTTTTTTTTTTCCTAAAAATAACGCTTGATAAATGAGAATATGACACGTGTCTCGTTCAAGGACAGATTTCCGCGTAGCTTGTTCCGCCATTCGAATGATTAATGAAATTATTCTTGATCTAGCGTTGTGCCTTCAACATGCTCTCAATGCTGTGCGTTCGGTGGAACGTGGAGCAAATTGTTCTTCTGGGAAACCATCACCGAAAGCGCAAAGATTAATTAAAACAAAAACAAAAAATAATATATTTTTTTCTACTTATGGATTAATATTTATATACTCACTGACAGCCGACGTTATTAAAACGGGGAACTCACCCTTGAAACCTGGATTGCTGGCGTCCACCGAGCCCGAACTAAGTGCGATAACAGCGCCACCCTTTAGCGACGAGTTAAAACATGAAAGTTGCTCTATATGGCTACTGCTAGAATAACTTAATATTCCCAAAGCATTGAAACTCTAAGACTCAAAACGCCAAAATGTCGGCTCATTATTTTTTTCTGTTTTTACTTTGGTCAATATGAGCTTTTGGAAAATGCGTAAAAACAAACAAAAAAAAGCTTTTTTTTTTTTCACGACCTTTTGTTAGATATTAGTACAGATTAATAGGGGTGTGATGTTTTCAGAAATTCTTAGTTTACGAGGTTTTGCGGTACAATTATTTTTTTTAAATAAAACCATGTCTCACCGGTGATTTCAGGTAGCGCGTCCTCACCTCGGCCCTGTTCAAACTTTGGTGGTCAACCACGGCGCGTCCTCTTGGCTTGGGAGATGGCGGTTGGCAGCCTAGAAACCCATACCACTGTATACGCTTTGGCGTCAAGATGGCCGATCAACGCCAGCATTGGAGAGTAACAGCAGACGCTGTCGAATGCCATACCCTGTCTCTAGATACTGCAAGATGGCGCCACCGGTCTTTGCTCGACTCGACCTGAACCAATACCGGAAGGCGCCATTTTGCTGCGGGCGAAATGTCGGCGTTGCGGTCGCGTTTAGTTTGGTTTCAAATACTGGTCAGGGAGTCATTCGTTTAATACAGGCTCCAACGGCAGTTTCCCAACTTAGTATTCTAGAAACGTCGCTGACAGCCTACACTCTAAAAAAAGTCTGTGCGTCTACTTTCACGCACAACACTCGGAAAACCAATCAGCGCAACTCACGGAGGCAGCTGAGCGGATGACGATGCCGAAACATATGTTTAGACCAAAAATCGCAGACTGAGCTGTGACATTAAGCAATGCAAGCGTGACGTTTTGCATTGCTTAATGTCACAACTCAGACTGCGTTTTTTGGTCTAAACATATGTTTCGGCATCGTCATTCGCTGAGCTGCCTCCGTGAGTTGCGCTGATTGGTTCTCCGAGCGTTGTGCGTGAAAGTAGACGCACAGACCTTTTTTAGAGTGCACGAAATCCGAGGCGTGGCTTACATGTTCATGCTTCCTCGTGATTGGTTTTTCGGCGTTCTTATCGGCTAATGCTGCAATCTGACTGACTGAGAAGTGATATGAAGATGTTTGGCACTCGCCGTGGCCCTGAGTTTTTCTAGCCTGTCAGTGAACAGTTCGTTGTACCGTACGCCTTTCGCAGGCTCAACCAAAAGAAGAAAAAAAAACCGAAGAAACAAACAAAAAACGTATTGTTTGGTGCCTAATACGCCGAGGCGCAATCGCTTCTGCATTCTTATGTTGCTTTTACAGCGGGGACGTGCGAAAGAGGAATCTACGTCATGGTGTTCGCTGTTTTTGGTAACCTCGCTCCGAAGTCAATTCAGGCGCAAAACTAAAAACGTTTACACTTGAACACGTAAAAATGTTTAAACAAAATCTAGACCTTTAATTGCAACATTTGCGCCTTCCACCAACATATATATGCTTACGTGGATCTAGTGGACTGCTTTTACATCGACAGGTCTTATGAATGTTTTTTTTTTTTTTGCTTTGAAAGCTATATTCTTAATTCCTGGCATGCATTTTCGCGCTGCATTATTATTATTTTTTTTTTAATATAAAACATAGTCAATTTGAGCAGAGATAATTATTACGCTTTATTCTCCAGCGCTTCGGAGTATAGATTCCCAATACATTGGGCGTTGTAAAATTCTTTGTGCTGTAGTATTTGGATTTTTATGCCCGTAAGAACAAAATATCCACACTTAAGTATTGATTCTAAGGTGCGAAATCTAACTTCAATTGCGTAGGTGGCAACCGGAAAAAATGGGAACGAGTAATGTAACAAAATGGGCGAATGAAATGCTCCGGGACAGCCGTGCTCGAATGCGTGGGTCTAAATCTGAATCAATACTACAGGTGGGCGGGCGAAAATAATCTCAGATGGCAAAGCTAGTCTGATTAATGAGAGATGAGGTTGGGTCATCGTACACGTGCAAGCAATCTCGGCAGCGTCCCCTCTATTCCACCATCCATCCTCAATAAAGAGGTATGAGAAAACGCGTGTGGGCTATCTCCATCGCTGGGAATCAGGAAGGGCTTATAGATTGCTAGCATAAGTTGACTACGCATCGATAACTACGAAACTCGCGCAACTTCGCAAGGATTGGAATGGTGGTAGTTGGGGCTTACGGTGTCTCGGATATGATGAATTTCAACTCGCAGAAATATAACTTATTCTAACACTCAACTCAAAATTTATTAAGAGTTCTCAAAAATGATATTGTCTTCTATCAAACCAGATTAAAGGCCTGCGGCAGCAAGTATTGGGAGAAAACCCGTTTGGCCTGAATTCACACAAATATGTACAGTCACGTCTCGGTAATATGAACACCGCTAGATACCCCACTATATGGATACCCTTTTTGGAGACGAATTGGGAAAATACATGCATTTTTGTCTCGTTAATATGAACAGCTCACATAATGAACGACTTTTGGGGGGGAGGGCGAGGGGGGGGGGGACGGAGGCGTTTATATTAACGGGACTTCGCTGTATTACACTGCTAAGAGAGGCAGTCAAAGCTTAGCAATATTATCTCGGGGTTTGGGCTTTCGATACATTATGCATTAACAGTTATATATGATGATATATGCAAAAACAGTCGAAGATCAGCTCCAAGGCGGCCTCTGTGACTTTGAATCTGAATTAGATCAGTGGGATTGAAAGAACACGTAAAACTTTAGACACTGGTCAGGAATACGTAGGGATTATACTAATCAAGGGTAAGACGTAATGATACCATAATATTTGTGACTGTATTTTCCGTGCTTAGTTCAAGTGAATTTCATGGATTAATTCAAATAACTATAAGTATTTCTCAACGCTCATCGGTATCTCTCCTATTACTGCAAATTGTTGCAGCAATGTATACCAAAAAGAATACTTTGATGTGAATGTGTACACAGTCATTTATTAAAGCTACCCAGGAGAGCAGCAAACCATTAATAACTCCAGTGATTCTGTTAACCCCGTCAGTAAAACTCAACACCATTGTATTTTATGGTATTTATGCCTCGTAGATTTGTTTTTCTAACATTAAGCATTTTGACTACGAACAAAATGTGAAAATAGCTTTATCGACGCATACCATGAACTAAGCAAAGAAAACATATATTTCAAATAATGTTTACGTTTGAGTGATGGAACTTCCTTTGCCCAAGCGTGCTTGGGACAGAAATTTGATAACTATGTTTGGCCTTGACAACAACTGTTTTTTTTTTTTTTTTTCACTTGACCAAGTTAGCCGAGAGCACCACCTCGTTGGTGATTCTGCTATACTCGTGCTACATACAAAGTTTTATTCCGTGCAAGTAGAGCTGTACTACGCATATAAGACGCTAAATGTTGTAAAACAGAGATTTTGCTGGGGGTATGACCTATCACAAAAAATCTGCCTGTGGAGTACGGCGGCGTGACTGCTTTTTCTTATTTCCACTCGCAGGTCACCAAGATGACTCTGGTGGTGGTGACCATATTTGCGCTCTGTTGGCTGCCTTACCAGTCGTACAACATCCTTCAGGAGATCTACCCTGCTATCAACCAGTGAGTTGGAGTATAAAAGTTAGGTGAACTAGTTGAAACGTGCGTAGTATGCAGTAAGCTGAGTGTGCATGTTGTATACTGCTTTTGTTGCTTTTATTGTTGGTTACTAGAATACCAGGGTCGAGTGTGAGCGAAAAACAGTGTACCTGGAGTAAAATACGGTATTTCACTTAAAATGAGTGACTTTAGCCAAAACTTAGTCTGCATCACTTAGAGTTAGCAGTCATAAAGCGAAAATTGCTTATGATGAAAACGCTAAAAAAACTGCGCATTGAGGTTAGTGAAATACAAAAGTCACGAATACCAAACATACAAGATGACGTAAAAGAAATGCACGACTTAACAACTCCTAAATTAACTTTTTTTCAAGGAATGCCTTTAAAATATTATGTATATCTAAATTTCTCATGACTGCACAAACACTAGCCATTACAGGCCATTTTATGCCTGCACGAAATATATCATTCAATGTCCAACCTCATCTCGATTTAGGAGAGGCAAATATAGGTTCTTAACAACCTGTATGCCTAGAAACATAATTAACGAGAAAACCTCCCGAGATGAGATGTTTGGGTAGTTTTCTTCTTTACCTCCAAGATGCAAGTTTCTAAAGATATCTATGGCTTGAACACCTTACTGATTCCCGAAATAAGGCGCATAAGGAGGTCATTGTCTTTTTTAGGTTTTTATCCATAACAAGATAGCGGGATAAGAATCGTAATAAAGAAACGAATTGACATATATAAGATCAGCGTACTTTCGTCACCGTGCACACCTGTACACATACTATCTACTATGACGTCACGATCCTCCTGGAACCGTAGAGAATGAGGGGAGGCGGCATCGCTTTTCTCCTCCTCGCTTCGGTTTACCAGCTTGACGGAACGAAGCGAGGAGGGCAGGGAACGAGAATCGTGACGTCACATGTCTTGTTGGGCTTTACGGCCGTGTTCAATCGCGCTCTTCTTTAAAAAAACACGGCCATCCGCTAGAGATATCGCTGTGTGAGCGGTGTTTTGGGGTTCTGCAGACTCGCACCCATCGCTCCAGTCCTGTTTTGTGAGCTCGAAATTTCGGTTCAGTATTTTTTTAAGAGAAATTGCCTCACAATATTACGAGGGATGGTATACAAAAATATGTGATCCCACCGTTGAGCCTGTTTTAAGACGATTACCAAATTTTTGAAGCCATTAGGCGTCCTTGGGGGAATAAAGCTCTGTGTGGGAATCAAATACCAAGCATCCGTCTAGTTCCCTTTGCACCTGTTTATTCTACGGCCGGAAAGCAATCCCGAGACATTTGTACACTTTGTAATTGCAGTTTCTCTGACCATTAGGTCCGCTTTTGCCCTTCCGGTCCTGAATATACTACTGTTCTAGTAGAACATATTTTGTGAAGTAAACTACAAATCGATATTGATGTTGGTTATCACACTGAGACGTTTGTATTCGCTTAGACTGCCTCATTTACGCGGAAAAAGAGGTGACTGCAAAAACAAAAGTCATCGGTTGGTTAGAGTTGTAGTTCTAGATGGACGCATCTTTTCTCCTTCAAATTAAAGTTAGCTCCGAAGAGAGCAAACTATTTACATTCGGTATATTGCTAAAAAAGATAAATATTTGGAGCTTACAAATCTGAGAAGCAATTTAAAGTTTAACCTTTTAAAAACCAGTAGTCATAACACGGAAAAAGAATACTAAATACGCGGTCTCTTTTTTATTTTTTTTGGCGTTTCGCATACGTGCATAGAAGCTTGAGTATAATAAAACGTGGTTATCAAAGTTCAATAATAAGATAATACAATTTTATGTTTGGCTCTCACATGTTCCATGGGAATACGAAAGACAGCACATTTTATGTGTGAAATAGCTGGAAGATGAGGTGTAAATAAAATAACAAAAAACTGTAGTTTTGCGGAAGCGTCTATATAAACCTGCGTGCAACTAAGAATTGCCGGTCCTAATCACATTTATTTTTGTAGAAAGTAACATGAAAACGCAAAAACAAAAATTAAAAAAAAAATTGGTGCATTCTGTTTGGTAGCGAATTTGCTCGCAATTCCGTTCCCCTACATATGTTTGTATTTGCCCACCTTGCCACCGTGTTTTATTCCTCCATCCCTCTTCAAAACAAAAAAAGGCATCTCTCTTTGTTCTCTAGATTTGCGCAAGATGCGTTTTACTTGAAAGCGCGGAGCTCGTGAGTTGTGTATATTTCAGGGAGCCTGTGCCTCAACAGCATGACGGATTTCTCGTTCCAGATACCGCTATATCAACGTCATTTGGTTCTGCTCCCATTGGCTGGCCATGAGCAACTCTTGCTACAATCCTTTTATTTATGCCATCTATAGCGTGAGTAACTCATTATGTTTGTCGTTTTCTTACGGGTGCATAAATTGGCAGAGAACGCGTCCTTTCCAGAATTTAAATTGATTATTATGCGGTATATTATTTATGCCTATTTACACTAGCAACGTCGAATTACTCACAAATATGAGGTCTGCATTTACTTATGTTGGGTTTAGAATGAAGCGGGCCTATATTCAAGAAACGTATGGGCAAAATCCGCTACATGATCTACAAAATCACAAAAGCAACAATTATAACAAGTTTTGCTGTAGAATGTATCTGAAAGACCCTTCTTTATCGTTAATGTGAAGTTAATAAAAAGTATAGGGTTCATCGCAGCGGCAAGGGCTACTTGCATGATCTCTTGAACGCTGTTCTCAATGGTCCAGTAAACCTATACGCGTACACGTGGCAGTTTCGCAATCCAGACTGTAAGGGCAGAGTGTATAAGCGACATCCCTAACATAACATTTGAATTAATTGTTCCCACAATTCAATCGAACATATAGAAGGAATACGATCCCGTTTGAAGGACGAATAAGATTTATATCAGACGGCTAAAAATGTAAATCCCAACATCATTGCTGGTGTACATTATCACCCTGCCCCCCTAGAACGGGGCTAAGCCTTATTAAAAAAAGAAAACTTTCTGATGTGATTTGTGCAATAAAAATACCAGAGCGTATACAAAATATGTAAGTCGGATATAACTTCTTGCACCAACTTCTATGACCCCGTATGATTATTGAACATTTTCATGCAATGTAGTTCACTACAGTTGCATTTTTCGCTTACCTTCCGCACACTCTTTCAAAATAAAATTTCCGTTTAATGGAGTTTATACGATTTACAGGGGTCTCTAGAGAACTACGTTTGTCAGTGAGCCTTTGCAGGGCAGTGAATATACAAATTTTAGTTTTATGTGCGTGTACGTGGTTGTGTGTGAATTGGCGTTTGTGCGTGCGTGCGTGTGTGGGTGCGTGTGCGTGCGTGCGTCCGTGCGTGCGCGTGTTGAAATTGAATAGTTTTCTTAAATTTGTTCAAAGCGAACAGATATTTTGTCTACAGTGCTAAATTATTCCTTATACTATATTATTCAAACTTCTAACGCTTACAACTAAACCGTGAACAAAAGGTAAGGGCGCAAACGAGCTGGTGGTGGTTAAACATTTCGACAAAAACCCCGAGACTGGGACAAAAAGGGACGGACAAACACAAAGTCTCAAACACCGTGTTTTAGCACGCTAGTGTTAGCATTTAAGTCACTTTCTAAAATTTGGTCGCACGGCATCCCATTAGTTAAGAAATTATGATAGTTTCAACCAAGTCATATAGCTCGGGTGAAGCACACACTAGGTCGTATAATCTTAATTTTTTTTTTTTATTCTTAACTTGCAGCTACGAATTTGTGACCACCACATCTTGAAACTTGGAAAAGAAACATACAGGGTGTGTTTTTCTTAAGCTTTACAGATTTGTTTTAAAGAAGCCGTGAAAGTTACACTTTTGCGGTTTGTACAGGTGAATTATGCGGCTAGGGGGATATTATGTGTGTGTCAAGTTTGTAAAATAATCGGCTAAGCAATTAAAATATGTTAATTAACTCTTTATTTCATGAAAATGAGCACATGTTTTCAATTAGAAACTTAATGAGCGTCATCATAAACCACTAAATCAACTTTTTTTAGATCGACTTGAAGCTCGTGGGAAACTCAGGGGCGCGCCAAAGTTACCACCTGTGAAGCAGGCGCAAAGCTAGCAGGGGCGGAGCTCGATAATGATCTAATCACCCTCGTTCCGCCACTGCTAGCTTTGCGCTTGCTTCACGAGTGGTAACTTTGGTGCGCCCCTGAGTTCTCCACGAGCTTCAAGTGGTTCTAAAAGGAGATGATTTAGTTGTTTTCGATGACGCTCAGTAAGTTTTTAATTGAAGCCATATGTCTATTTCCACGAATTAAAGAGCTAATTAACGATTTTTAATTTATTATTTATTAGCCGACTTATCAGAAAGGTATGCCACCCACATAAAGTCGCCCTGGTCGTATAACTCACCTGAACAAACCGCATAAGTGTAACTTCTTTAAACAAATCTGTAAAGCTTAAAAAAACACCCTGTATATGATGCTCTTAAACCAATGCCAAAAAACTGTATTCAACTTAAAATCAGTTACCTTAAGGCTCCATTGGCGACTTCCAAATTACGTTTGATAGATAAACAATAAGGCAATTATTTTAACTTGATGTGATGTCTTGCACGCATGCAAACTCTCTACGATGTTATTTCTGTTATCTGTGTTGGATTCCTCATTGCCTCGGAACGTATTCGACTTTTTTTTATTGTTTCATTTTGTCATTCGCTGGGCTGCGCGACCTTAGAACTCATGTCTACTCTGCAAAACCAGCAGGTTAACTAACTTTTTCTTGAACGGGGCAGTATCTCATTTCCGACTACGCCGCTTGAAATGTCTCGTCGATTGCACATAACGAAGAAATAGCCATTCTTTGCTCACTCTGCCGACAAAAGGTCGTATGAAAGCAAAACTATATTTACCTCAGAAACGGATTTTCCCGTTGCACTGCTTGTGGGAAGAAATTGAGTATACCGGTAAATGGGTCATTCTAACCGCTGCGCTGAAAGATTATTACATAAATGCATGTATATTGGGTTCCAGTCTTCCTGCCAAACTATATGTGGACCGGGACAGAAAAAAAAAATAGGCGCGATTAAGTTTACCTTTAGTTTACCTCGTGTCTTTTCTTTACGCTACAAGTATTCTTGTACGATTCTTTGTTTAAAGCGCTTATTTTAACACAATCAGAAACCCGTTTCTTACAGTGCCGTTCCAGAAATAGCGAACTGAAGAGTGTTCATCATGACAGAAATAGAAGCCCAAGATAGACAAAAAGGGGACAAGAATCTTCTTTGTCTGACGTGTCACACACGAGCGAAGCAGCCGCGCTGTACGCGAGGCTGCCCTCCGTAAACGACACATTTGAATAACATAATGGTAGCATCTCTTGAAAGGTTGTGCCTTTTGAGCATTGCATAACGTGGGTTGCTATACAGAATCACCCATTTCCTTTTAAATACACACACACACAAAAATGAGAACTTTCGTCTTGTTTCTTTTCATTTTTTTATTTTGCGCTTGCCAGATCCGAAGAGTGACTTGGAGCTAACCATCCCCTTTCTCATGTTTTCTTTCAGGAAAAGTTCAGCGCGGAGTTTCATGCGCGCATGCGCTGCTGCGGCAGTCCCCGGAACAAGCAGGACGAAGTGCCCTGCTACCGACAGACGACGACGCACTCGACGCGCTACTCCATGCGCTCGTACTCCTGAAACAACGAGATGTGCTACCCGTGCTGGCCGCTGCGAAAAAAGCGCGGGAGAGACACTTCCCACGTCAAGACAACACGCGAACCACAGAACTGCTCGCATGTTTGATGGCCTTTCTTATTTAGTCGCCAGCCTTCTCTGCCGAAGGTGTCTTCGAGTGATTGTTCCTTTATTTTACACGCCTTTCCTTAGAAAACGTGCGTTTCACGTTCTTTTTTTTTTTTTTTTTTTGTTTGCTTTTGTTTTAGCGAAACTAAAAGAACAAATAAAAACCATTGTGAAACTCTTAAAACTAGCCAGCTCGAGAGTCGAAACCAGCTCGAAACCAATTGCAATTTTGTGCACTGGACGATTGCTTGCGTTAATTTTTTGTTAAAACTCTTCACTGCGTGCTTCATACATTTTTACTGCGTCTTTCGTGAAGTACGAGATATATACAGTTGCTTTGTACGATGTAAATAGTGTGCTTCCAACGCCTACATGAGTAGTAGTCTTGACATTTCACAACGAGCGTTCGCGAACAATTCGTTCAACAATTTCAGAGCAAGTCAGTACAAGCGGAACGATTATAAAACTTTTCTTCTGATAACTGTGATGTGTCCTTAGGTTTTTATCTTGAAACGAATATAACAGCTACCCTTTGCCCTCTTATAACAAAATGAAAGCTTCAAAATCTGGTTTCGCTCCCAACTTTAAATCTTGTAGATATTGGTCAACGAATGCATATAGGAGTAGTTGCGGTACAGAGTACTTAGTTAATCTTGGTGCGACGGTTCTCTTCTTGAAATCACTTGTGCCTTACAAATGGTCTTCATTGTAGCGCATAAGACATTGAATCTTAAAGAAACTTTTCCGCCACCACTTAGGGTCCCTTGCTTTCATAATCGTGAATGTCTGTCGTGTATATACGTAGAGCCATTAAGGCACATTTTAATCGCGAAAAAATAATTTTGACAAGCCCAGCATATGCGCATGTTGCTCTGGGCTCGAAAGCTACCGACGCAACATCTAAAGCTCAAGAAGAAAACGTATCCAAACTCTTCGCTGGATACACGGCAAGTTTGGTGTGTGCGTAGCTTTGAAAACTTTTGAAAATCTAATGACCGCATCTCCGACGTCAATAAAGCTGTAAGACATCTGCAACCCATTTCTTTCTTTTCTCTTTTTGATCATTCTAATGAAATCACTTCCTTACAGGCGCGTGCAATTCTTTGTTTGATGGGATCCGGCATCCAGTCAGCCAAACCTGCTGTTTCCGCCCTTGTGCTGAGCCAAATTAAGCTCAGCTATTATCAAGATATCTTCCATACGGTTTCGACTTCAATTACTCTGCATTAAATTGTCTTTTCCGGTGAAGTATATTATAGAAAACAAAGTGGGCAGGACTGGGCATTAGGCCGCGGAACATTTATACAATAGCAAGTGCGAGATCACAAATGGAAGTGGCATGCTTAGAGAGTGGGCCTGCATTTTGGCGGTGCTTTGCTGCAGAATACGTCGAAGTGAGATAGCATTGATTGTCTTTTTCGAAGGCCATATCTCGCTGATTAAATTACGACTTATCAAATTGTGAGTAACTAAGCTTCTAATTCCGACACACTTTAATTCATTAAAAGGAACATCCAGTGAGCGCCTCTTCCCGACAACCTTGCATGTGCACGGTAAGGATAGGTGAACGACAGATGTGGTAACTCTCCTCAAGTCCAGTTCACGCATTTCTGTTTGTCTGTGACCGACCGCATTATAACCGCTTGTCACTGCTGGCGAGAATATCAGACTCACATATATGGGAAGAGTCTGGACATCTATTGCCCTAGGTGACCTCCCAGACTCTTCCCATAGAACTAACGGCAGGCCTAGCAAGCGCCTAGCAACGGAAAACGTCGGGAGAACGGCGCGGGCCTGTCCGCCATCGCCGATCCCAGGCCAACGCGCGTCCACGCAGGGCCGCATGGTATCCTGCAAACAGACCTTTATTAGAGCGCAGCTCTTAGGCGCCCAATTCCGCGTTTCGCGGCGTCAGCGCCGGCGTAACCACCCCGCTAAATGTAGCGGGAAATTGAATTGGTGTAGGTCACGTGACGTCAATTTTCCCGCTAAATATAACGGAGAAACTGAATTTGTTCATGGGTGACTTGACACGAAGTCATGCGACATCAATTTCCCCGCTAAATTTAGCGGGGAGACTGAACTGGTGTTGAGATCACGTGACCTAAATTTTCCCGCTAAATATAGTGGGAAAACTTGCCCATTAATTTTAGTCAGTTATGTCTCCCTGCTAAATTTAGCGGGAAAATTGACGTCACGTGACCTCTACACAAATTCAGTTTTCCCGCTAAATTTAGCGAGGAAAATGACGTTGCATGACTGCGTGCCACGTCACATATGAACAAATTCAGCGGGAGGACGAGAGGAGGAGAAGGAGGAGGGGAGGTTACGGTGCAGGATGAGAGGCATACTCTCCCCTTTTCCTTCTCAAGTGCTGCGCTCTGGTTTCGCACTACAGAATCATCTAAACGCCTTTCATTTTTTTTTTTAGGTTTTCTGTTAAGAAAATGGTTCATTGTTGTGCGGTTGGATGTTCCAATCAAACCCGCCACGGTTTTCGTTCTTTTTTTATATAAATCTAAAACGGAAAAAAAAAAAAAAAAAAAAAAAAAAAAAAACGTCGCAAGATAGGGTTGGCTAAAATCAAGCACAGCAGCGTCGAAAACATGCGAAATATTTGCTACGCACTGCTCGACATTGAACTTCCATCTGCGAAGCGTTTTCCACATGCCTTCTCCAAACTGCAAACTGAATTAATTCATTATTTGATGCCTTTTAATAAATGTTACTTTTTGTATAAAAAAGCTAATCTTCTTGTTTTTCTATCTTCCATTAATTTTCATATATTAACATGACGATGGATTCTGGGATCTCAGCGCCGTTATAGGGACGGCCAATCAATTGAGTTAAATCTATTACAACGAGTAAGCTTACCATTCGCGAAGAGCCGCCTGGTTTATTTCGCAACCTTCCGTTATCTACTATACGAATCTAACGTTACGACAAAAGTTAGTGCCGGCGACGTTTTCAATGCCAACAAACTCGCACAACCTCCTTTTATTTTTTTTTTTTTTTGTAACCATCCGGCTTCCTAGACGCTCGCAGAACGAGAACGTTGTTTGGTTGGTCGGTGCAGGCAGGCGGTAAGCATATGCACGGTGTGGCCTTCCGATATCAGGAGTAGCGATCGCTTTGATCAAGCCATTTCGCTTGACACGCTGACGCATAGTCAAGGGGAAATGCAATTAGGAAGAAACGAAACTGTGGTAAACTCTCGGACGACGATATTTAACTCACTTTACAATCTAACAAATACTTTTCTTCGAAAACACGGGCAACGATGCCATTCTCGTATACGATCGCTTATCAGAACATTCCACGGAAAGCCCCTCAGCAGCAAACTAGAAGTCATTATCGTTGTGCACTGCTAATATAACAAGAGGCCTCAACTAGAACGGAAAATTGCGAAAATTACGCGAGCGTAATTAACGCAACCCAGCGAGCATCCGCGAAGCGCATGAACGCGCCGCGCCGGTGTCGCAGCGCGCACTGAGGGAGAACAGACAAGTTAACCAGGAACTAACCTAATATGGTTCCCGAATAAACATGGCAGAGCACAAATACTGCTAGCGGATGACTTAAAGCACAATAAAACATAATAATTAAAAAGCGCAACAGGACAACGGACACAGAAGGAGACACAAACACAGTCTCCTTCGGTGTCCGTTGTCCTGTTGCGCTTTTTAATTATTATGAATCACCAACTCGCCCAACTTTCTACCCTCGTCAACAATAAAACAGTCATACGTCGGACGAAACCAAGAACCAAGCATACGTGCATGAATCCGAGGTGTCGGTTGAGCTCGAAGGTGGCAAAATAGGCTTGGCCATGTCGTACGCGTGGCATGCCAGTGACGTAGTTGACGAGCTCTCATCGAGGCCACGCCCGGGTGGCCGAATTCTCCCGTAAATATTGCTTTGGATGAGACAAAACGCTGGCGCCATCTATCGGGTAGCTCTGGAACCCTTCCAATACGGGGATATTTTCTAATATCTTACGCATCATTCTTTGACCATTGGTTTGAAGTGATTTTGAAAATGTTATAATTAACAATATTTCATGATAGTGTACGGCTTTCATCTCGCAAGCATCGCGAAACCTTCGGTCTAGTTAAACACAAATCGGATGTGTTTGGGGCTGCCTGATAGGGGGCGCCAAATGTTCAATTGCGTTCTGTCGTAGTCAGAAGTCACAAGCCGTCGTATGCGAAGTCGGTCACAATCTTAGGCGAATTTGTGAAGTAGTTTTTAGGTACCCTTAGCGTAACAATATAACTATCACTTTGCAACTCTCCGTTGGCACGGTGGTGGGCTCGAATTGTTGGGGTACTGATTTAGATTTTTCTTGGAAGACATTAAGAGTTGTGTTTGTTTTTTTCTAATTGGGAAGACGGGAAGACGATTTAAGAAAAAGAACAGTTGACAAAATATCAATACTTCATTTCGTCAGCTCGTGATATTTTCTGGCACCAAACTAAACACTTCAAAATTAAAAAGAGAACATTGTTTTCAGGGTGGTTTTGGAATGACCGGAAATACATTTTAATATTTTCTAATTAATAATTTTTTTGCAGTGCTAAAACACGAGTAAAATAATGATTAAAAACGTCCATTACTTTGGCGCCCTGGAGCTCCTAGTTGTTTAGACCTCAGAACAGCAGCAAGATGTGCTGAGCAGATATCGCAAGTAGGTCACTTCCCGTGCAAGCAGCGCTCTGTAGTTTTCTGTATTCAAGAAAAACCCGCAGCGGCTTGCAGGCATTATTGCGTGGGGGGGGGGGGGGGGGGGGGGGGCACAAATCTTTATAAAAATCACCAGCATTCACACGGCACACTACTTCCACCGGTAAAAAATTCCATTGTGAGATCCACTTCACAAGACACTGATGTGTACAAAGCACAATCGTCATACAATAGCTGTTTTTTAGACTCAATACCGCATGAAATATCATTAATATAAATTTAAAAAAAGAAGTGACCCTAATACCGATCCTTGTGGTACGCCGGATGTGACGGAACATGGCACGAACATGCTCCATTTACAAAAACTTTCTGCTGCCTTAGAGTTAAATAGTCGTTTATCCATCGTCTAACAGTAATATCAGCATTTAAATCTGCAAGCTTCTGTAGTAATATTGAATAAGACACAGTGTGGAATGCGTTTCTAAAATCAAGGAATATACAGACAACCTGGTACTTGTTATTAACTTCAACGGCAATATTATAGTAAAATTGTATCAGCTGTGTCGTCCATGAAAAACCTTTATGGAAACCATGGTGACGCTCATTCCAAAATCCAATCGAGCCAAGGTGTTTCATAAACTTCTAGTACAAGATATGTTGAAGTATTTTACAACACAAATGGGTAAGTCAAACTGGCCTGTGGTATGACACACTACATTTGGACCCACGTTTGAAAACTGGCACGACACTGGCTACTTTCCATTCATGAGGCAATTTTCCTTCATGAAGCGACTTAGTGTAAATTGCATAAAGGTACTGCTCTAGAGCAATATTTCAATACCCTACGCTCTAAGAGAATTCCCGTGCGTCTCCTTTCCCGCACAACACTCGGAGAGCCAATCACCGCAACTCACGGAGGCAGCTGAGCGAATGACGATGCCGAAACATATGTTTAGACCAAAAAACGCAAACTGAGTTGTGACATTAAGCATCGCAAACGTGAAGTTTTGCATTGCTTAATGTAAACATATGTTTCGACATCGTCATTCGCTGAGCTGCCTCCGTAAGTTGCGGTGATTGACTCTCCGAGTGTTCGGGAAAGGAGACGCACGGGAATATTTTAGAGTGTAGGTAAGGTGCCATCGGGACCTGTGGCTTCTTTTTTTTTTTTTCATCAATATTGGCGAGTAACTTCGTAAAAGCACTAAAAGATAGTTCAACACGCTCCATGATAGGATACTGATTATTTGCAATCTGCAGAACGACATTTTTTCTGGAAGAAAGACAGACTTAAAAGTCATTAAATGCTGAAGCCCTATCGTACGCATTAGTCAGTAAGATTCCCAGATATAAATA